CACAGCACAAACCCCCAGAAGTACCTACCTACCTACCTTCCTTCCTTCCTTCCTTCCTTCCGACAGGCAGAGTGGACAGCGAGAGAGAGACAGAGAGAAAGGTCTTCCTTTGCCGTTGGTTCACCCTCCAATGGCCGCCACGGCCGGCGCACCGCGCTGATCCGATGGCAGGAGCCAGGTACTTATCCTGGTCTCCCATGGGGTGCAGGGCCCAAGGACTTGGGCCATCCTCCACTGCACTCCCTTGCCATAGCAGAGAGCTGGCCTGGAAGAGGGGCAACCGGGACAGAATCCAGCGCCCCGACCGGGACTAGAACCCGGCGTGCCGGTGCCGCAAGGCAGAGGATTAGCCTAGTGAGCTGTGGCGCGGGCCTTTTTTTTTTTTTTTTTTAAGATTTGTTTATTTTTATTTATTTGAAAGTTGGAGTTACAGAGAGAGAGAAGCAGAGGCAGAGAAATAGAGAGGTCTTCCATCTGCTGGTTCACTCCCCAATTGGCCACAATAGCCAGCCAGAGCTATGCCAATCTAAAGCCAGGAGCCAGGAGCTTCTTCCAGATCTACCATGTGGGTTCAAGGCCCCAAGGGCTTGGGCCATCTTCCACTGCTTTCCCAAGCCATAGCAGAGAGCTGGATTGGAAGTGGGGCAGCTGGGACTTGAACTGGCACCCATATGGGATGCCGGCACTGCAGGCAGTGGCTTTACCCGCTACACCACAGCACCAGCCAGGAAGAAGTACCTTTCTGTTCCTTCCTAGTTTAAGTATATTTTTTAGGGAAGGGTGTTAAATTGAGTGCTTTTTGTGTGTTTAGTGAGGTAATCATGTGATAGTTTAGAACTCTTGTTTATAGAAAAACTCAGTTCAGACAGACTTGAAGGAAAAGGGGCATCTTTGGCTCAGTTAACTGAAAAGGCCAGGGATTCTCTCACCTGAGACATGATATGGCGAATCTGGAGGTTCAAACACTGCCGTACGTGTTTTCCCTCTTCCCCTTCCGTGCTTCAAATTCCCCTGCTCCCCTTTCCCTTTATGTGGGAATCCTGTAAAAAGCCTCCTGTGATGGCAGAGTGGCTGCCAGCAGCTGCAGGCAGGCATCCTTAAGATCAAAGAGGGCCGATCGTGGCGCCAGCACACAGGGTTCTAGTCCCGGTTGCCCCTCTTCCAGGCCAGCTCTCTGCTGTGGCCCGGGAGTGCAGTGGAGGATGGCTCAAGTGCTTGGGCCCTGCACCCCATGGGAGACCAGGAGAAGCACCTGGCTCCTGCCTTCGGATCAGTGTGGTGCACCAGCCGCAGCACGCCAGCCGTGGCGGCCATTGGAGGGTGAACCAACGGCAAAGGAAGACCTTTCTCTCTGTCTCTCTCTCGCTGTCCACTCTGCCTGTCAAAAAAAAAAAAAAAAATCAAAAAGTAAAAGAGACTGTTTCCATTTCTTTCTGTATTTCCCCAGCCTTAACCAAAGTCCTCTGGGTGGACCATTTGCTCGTTCTGAGACTATCACTAAGGAATCCATAAGGCTTGAATCACTTGCTGGCCAACCCTGGATTGCCAAAATAATTGTCAAGGCCAGCGCTCTGACATAGCGGGTAAAGCCACCACCTGCAGTGCCAGCATCCCATATGGGTACCAGTTCAAGTCCCAGCTGCTTCACTTCCAATCCCACTCTCTGCTATGGCCTGGGAAAGCAGTAGAAGATGGCCCATGTCCTTGGGCCCCTGTACCGAGACCTGGAAGAATCTCCTGGCTCCTGGATTTGGATTGGCACAGCTCTAGCCCTTGCAGCCAATTGGGGAGTGAACTAGCAGATGGAAGACATCTCTCTCTTTGTGCCTCTCCTTCTCTCTGCGTGTAACTCTGACTTTCCAATAAATAAATAAATCTTTTAAAAAATTGTCAAGTATACTTTAAAAAAAAACAAGATTTATTTATTTACTGAAAGGCAGAGTTACGGAGAAGAGAGACATAGAGAGAGATCTTCCATCTGCTGGTTCACTCCCCATATAGTTGTAATATCCAGGACTGGCAAGCTGCTTCTGAGTCTTCCACATGAGTGGCAGGGGCCAAAGTACTTGTGCCATCTTCAGTTGCTTTCCCAGGAACATTAGCAGGGAGTTGGATCAAAAGGGGAACAGCTAGGACACAAACTGGTGCTCATATGGGATGCAGGTGGCAGCGGTTTTTCTGACATGCTACAACATTGGCCCCCCAATTATACTTTTTTAAAGTTTATTTTTATTATTTGAAAGGCAGAGTGACACACACACACACACACACAGAGAGAGAGAGAGAGAGAGAGAGAGAGAGAGAGAGAAGGGGAGAGAATCTCTCATCTGCTGGTTTCATCCCTAAATGCCCATGATAGTCAGGGCTGGGCCAGGCGACAACCAGGAGCCAGGTCTCCCATGTGAGTGGAAGTGACCCAGTCACTTGAACTTCTGCCTCCCAGAGTGTGCATTAGCCAGAAATTGGATGGGAAGCAGAGGGAATACTCCATCTCAAGCACTCTGATATGGTATGTGGGCACCCCAAGGGGTGGCTTAACCCACCATGCCCCAGTTGTACTTGCTATAGTGAAATAATCCTGAATAATACAAAGTTTGTGAAATTGACATTTAAATATTGTTTTTGCCCTATGTCATCTCTGACAGTATTAGCTAATATGGGCTACAACTCTTCCCTGTTTTTTGTCTAATTCTTCCAGCAGGGAGTTTGGCTGTTACCATATTCCATCTCTAGAACAGGATGGCAAAAAAGAGGATGTGGCTGGGATAGGAAGATAGTTTAATGCCAATCAAAGGGAGCTTAGTACAGACCCTTTATCATCTATCCTTTTTTGTTACCTTGAATGTTATATCTAAGATAACTGCAGATTAATGTAAAATGAGATTAATGGCCTGTTCATCATCCATGACTCTACTCCAATTCATCATTCCTGAGCTGTGTTCCCTGAACATTACAGAAGAGCAGTGTAGTGGCAGGTGTGGTGAAGTGGGTTAATCTGCTACTTCTGATTGCCCCATCAAATCAGAGTATCTCGTTTGAGTTCAGGTTATTCCATTACTGATCCAGCTTCCTGATAATGCACACTCTGTGAGGGAGAGGACGATGACTCAAGTACTTAGGGCCCTGCCTCCCATGTAGGAGACCTGGATAGAGTCCTGAACTGGTTTTAACCTAGTACAGCCCTGGCTGTTGCAGGCATTGTGGAATGAAGCAGCAGATGAAAGAGCGCTCTTACCCTCTCTCTGTCTCATTGTCTCTCTCTCCCCTTTCCTCCCTATCTGCCTGCCTTTCAAATAAATAAAACTTTAAAAAACAACAGCAGTGTGTCCCAGTGCTAATTGGGACTCTCTATCCCCTACATTGGAATCTCCTCACTGGAAGGAGACTTCTGTGTCTCAAGTGCCTTCTGAAACTCCAGGAATTATGTGCTGTAAGAAGTTGCTACGAGCTACGTGATAAAAGAGTGATCAAGTGAACTTCCCTGGTATAATGGTAACTTCCCCTGGAGAAACACAGAACCTGTTTAGGGAAGGTATTACTGCAGTTGCTTCTTATAGTTTACCAGCTACTTTCAGGATGCACTGCAGCTCTGCTTTGTGTGTGTGCGTGGGGAGGGGGGTGGTTGCTGTTCTAACATTTTCCAGAATCCTGTAATATAAAACTAGTTTAATTCATTTTTTTCAATTTTAAAATACTTTCCCCTTCTCCATTGTAACAACTTTGAAATCAGGAAGCATCTTAGAATCTGTGCCATGTCATTGATTAATCATCAGGTTTTTTTTTCTTTTTTGTGTTACATAATGCAACGTGTCTTTTTTTTTTTTTTTTAAGATTTTATTTGTTTATTTGAAAGGCAGAGTGGCAGAGTTACAGACAGAGAGAGGGAGAGACAGAGAGAAAGTTTTTCTATCTGCTGGTTCACTCCCCAAATGAATGCAATGGCCAGAGCTGGGCTGATCTGAAGTCAGGAGCCAGAAGCTTCTTCCTGGTCTCCCATATGGGTGCAGGGGCTCAAGCACTTGGATCATCTTCTGCTTTCCCAGGCCATAGCAGAGAGCTGGACTGGAAGAGGAGCAGCTGGGACATGAACCGGTGTCCATTTGGGATGCTGAACCACAGGCAGAGGCTTAGCCTACTATACCACAATGCCGCCCCAGCAGTATGTCTTAATATTGATGAAGTGGTGGTTAATTTTATGGGTTAATTTGAGCCACAGTGCACCCAGACATTTAGTTGAATGTTATTCTGTGTGGGTTCATGGGAGAGTTTCTGAATGAGCTATACATTTGACCTAGGAGAACAAGTCAAGTGGATTGCCCTTCCGAATGTGGGGGGGCCTGAGTCAGTCTGTGGAAGGCTTGCCTGAAACAGAAAGGTTAACTGAGAGAACTTCCGGCTGCCCAACTGCCTTGACCTGGGCCATTGGCCTTCCTTGGAATTTATACCATTGGCTCATCTGGGTCTTTAGCTTGCTGACCACAGGACATGGGCCATCATCACATAATCTAATTCTTTCTAACAAATATCTAAGAGAGGTAAGTAGGGCTGGCGCCGCAGCTCACTAGGCTAATCCTCCCCTTGCGGCGCCGGCATGCCGGGTTCTAGTCCCCGTCGGGGTGCCGGATTCTGTCCCGGTTGCCCCTCTTCCAGGCCAGCTCTCTGCTGTGGCCAGGGAGTGCAGTGGAGGATGGCCCAAGTCCTTGGGCCCTGCACCCCATGGGAGACCAGGATAAGCACCTGGCTCCTGCCATCGGATCAGCATGGTGTGCCGGCCTCAGCAGCCATTGGAGGGTGAACCAACGGCAAAGGAAGATCTTTCTCTCTCTCTCTCTCTCTCTCACTGTCCACTCTGCCTGTCAAAAAAAAAAAAAAAAAGAAGAAGATAGATAAGTAGGAAGATGGATAGGACTGCAGTTCTTGGGACTTAGCTTCCTTTATCACATAAGCCAGTTCTTTATAATGAACCTCTGAGATACACACACACACACACATACATACTGTTAATTCTTGAGAATGCTGACTTAAAGAGATGTGTCCTAAATTTGATGAAATGCAGTAACTAAAGATAACTTAAATGCCTTCTACATAAAAATCATGATGGATTTGGGGAGTATTTACACCAGCCATAGTCATGAGATTTGAGCTATAAGTGAAAAGATGCTATTGTTCTATACCAAGATGGCTTTCTGAGAACAGGAGCCAAAATTTTTGGACATTTTGTGCCAGAAGAAGCAGCATCAAAAGACATGGTTTCCTTCCCAGCTCTGCTGTTTTCTGTCTGTGAGTCTGGGGTTGGCTTCCTTCTCTGTAAAATGAGCTGGTTGGTCTTCAGTGATGTCAAAGACCTCTTCTATTTCTCAACTTCTCAGAAACTGATTTCTTCAATTTCAGTAATAGGTATAATCAGATGCAAATGGCTAAAACATCCTCAATAATGTTTGATTCTGGGAGTGCTAACTCAACAAGACATAGTCTGATGATCAGTTGAGCTTCCCAAGTTGTAACGTGTGTGCAAAAAACAGTGGCCTTCGCTGTGAGTTTCTATAGAATTTGAAGCCTACATGGGAAGCATCACTTTCTGAAATAGAATTTTGTATCTTCATTCCAAGGGGTTTGCCAGCCAAGAATTGACTCATGCTGGGGTGAAGTTAGGGCCATAAGGCTCCTGACATCCAATAAAGGGCCTAGTACCTTGGGAAGGAAGTCACCAATATAAAATGTAACACAAGGAACATAAACCATAGCTTTGAAAAGGACTAGTTATCTTTGATGAAGAAGAGGTGTTTGGCAGGACATTCTAGTTCAGATATTATTGGAATGTGAATGTTGAAAATCAGTGTTTATCCAGTTTTGATTAAAGAAATGAAAGGCAGTACCTGGCAGGCCTGAACCGAATCAAGTGAAGAAAATAAATGAGGGGCCCAGCACTGTGGCGTAGCAGGTAAAGCTGCCGCCTGCAGTACTGACATCCCATATGGGTGCCGGTTTGAATCTCAGCTGCTCTACTTCTGATCCAGCTCTCTGCTGTGGCCTGGGAAAGCAGTAGAAGATGGCCCAAGTCCTTGGGCCCCTGCACCCATGTGGGAGACCTGAAAGAAGCTCCTGGCTCCTGGCTCCTGGTTCCTGGCTTCGGATTGGCACAGCTCCGACCGTTGTGGTCATCTGGGGAGTGAACAAGCGGAAGGAAGACCTCTCTCTCTCTGCCTCTGCCTCTGCCTCTGCCTCTGCTTCTGTCTCTCTGTAACTCTGCCTTTCAAATAAATAAATGAATCTTAAGAAAATAAATGAGTGAAACCTTACCTGCCCACCTAACGCCTTTGCTTAGCTTTAGTGCTGACCATTCAGCCTTCTGATCCCAAATGTAGTTTCCTTGGGCGCGGGGTGCTCTGGAAAATGCAGTAGTTTCCTATATGTAACGTAGTAAATAGAAATATATACCATTTGACATCAGTCTACATCTTGCCCAGTTGGTTTGTGTGACTCATTTTCCAAGGGCCCATCAGATGTCTGTGCCTGAGCAGCCTCTGCCCAAGGCCCCCAGTGACCTTCTTTGTGGTTACTTCAGCCTAGCATAATCCCCTGGCGGAAATGTATCCCAGCAGGCTGTGGCATTTGAGAGACACTGGGGGGAACTGACAGGGCTTTCACAGTCAGGGATGACGTTTCGTGAAGAAGAGCCAGTGTGGACAAAAGCCCAGAGGCAGAAATACATAAAATAAGCTTGGTCTGAGGTCAAGTATGTGAGGACTGGATAAAATGTTTGTTTCTGCTGTCTGTGGTTTTTCCCCTGAAGTTCTCCAACACTGAAGTGAATGTCGTGAAGCCTTAGTGTATCAAGATGACTGTTTCAGTGGATCAATACTGACTGCTAAGTTCAACAAAGTTACCGTTCCCTAAGGGTCATGTGACTCTAGGCAGACTTAGCAGCACTTTGCATAATGTTTGTTGAGCATTAATTGTAATCTTTATTTCTGCACTTATAAGTGAGAGAAAGGTGAGTGTGTCATAATAAGAGAGAAAGGTGAGTGTGTCATAATAATAACATTCAGGATGCAATAATCAAATGATTGGAAAAAATTAGAAATCACATATGGCTAGTACTGTATTAGGGGAAAAGGAGAATGAAAATCAACTGTCAATCCAGTTGCCCAGAGAACATCACTATACTTGCGGCTGATCCCGACTTACTCTGTGCTTCACGTGACTAAAAAAACACCTCAACGGTGTTTGTTTTACTTTCACAGAAATGAGAACCGATGAACAAGTCTTTTCTAACCTGCTTTTTCTTAGAATCTCCTTTGCGATATGAAGCTCCGTGGAGCTGGGCCTGGGCGGCACCTGCCGTGCCAGCAGTCGTGGTGACAGTGCTCTTGCTTCTGTTTCCAGGCTGGCAGCCTCGCTGGTTCCTTCTCTGTGGGGGGATCTTATCCTACTACGATTCTCCTGAAGATGCCTGGAAAGGTTGCAAAGGGAGCATCCAAATGGCAGTCTGTGAAATTCAAGGTGAGAAGTCAAGTAATTATAGATGTTTTTTTCTGTTTCCCTAAAAGATAAGAAAGCATTGGCCTCTGCATGCCTTTCTTTGCTGCTGCCCTAGTAGAAATCAGGATACTACTATCATATTCACAAAGAAAGCCTTGCAAACAGAACCTAAAACTGTAGCCAACTTTTCCAAGGAGATTATTTAAGAGGTGGTCAGAATAAATGACAGCAGTATGCTTCACTACTCAGCTAGTGCTCGGCTTAGTTACCTGCTCATTGGGCCGGTGGCTATTTGCAAAGCTTACTTAATTCTTTTTACTACAACACCAAACACAGCTTTCAAAATTAAGATCACACACACACACACACACACCCGCACTACCAACAAGTCAAAACCCACCGGAACTATAAATAGAAGTACTTCTTGGTTCTCTAACCTATTTGGAATCTAGAGACATGGAGCAATGATGTGGCTCAGAAGCAAAACAGATTCACTGAGAATTTAAATTTTGGGGTGGGCAGTTAGTGAGGCAGAGTGTGATTGGCCTGCTTCTTCCCCTAAAGGGCTCTGAGGGAATTCTTACTTTTTGGGTCTGATTTGTCACGGGAAGTAGAAGGAAAATACTGTATTCTTGGTTGTTTCCTAATAAATCCAACAAGATAAAGAACGTATCCTTGCTTATTGGCATGAGTTACATTTGTCTGTGTTTTTTTTTTTTTTTTACCATAAAAAGTGCCTGAGTCTGGGTACTTAGAAAGAAATTAGGTTTATTTGGCTCATAGTTTTGGAGGCTGAAAGTCCAGAGAGCCTGGGGCTTAGCCCACTGGCTGCATCACAGTGTGGAGGAGGACATTGTGAGAGCCAGAGATCACCTGGTGAAAAGGAAGCCAGAGAGACCGGGGAGGGGCCAGTCTTGCTCTTTTAAAACAGCCCTCTCCTAAGCACTAACCAGGGTCCCACAAAAACTATATGAATTCTTACAGATGGCAGAGTCCCCCTTACCTCTTCACATCACTATACCGAGGAACGAGTTTCCAACACATGCACCCTTAGGGACAAATTGCATCCAGACCCGAGAAGCATGCAAACCCTAATGGCCTCAGAGCAGCATACTGCCTGCACACAAAAGCCAAAGGAGAGAGTCCCTCTTTTTTTTTTTTTTTTTTTTTTGATAGGCAGAGTTAGAGAGACAGAGAAAAAGGTCTTCCTTCTGTTGGTTCACCCCACAAATGGCCACCACGGCTGGCACACTGCTCTGATCCGAAGCCAGGAGCCAGGTGCTTCCTCCTAGTCTCCCATGCGGGTGCAGGGCCTAAGGATTGGGCCATCCTCCACTGCACTCCCGGGCCACAGCAGAGAGCTGGACTGGAAGAGGGGCAACAGGACAGAACTGCTGCCCAGACCGGGGACTAGAACCTGGGGTTCTGGCGCCACAGGCAGAGGATTAGCCTAGTGAGCCTTGACGTTGGCTGAGAGTCCCTGTTTATTCTGATTAAAGATCAGTTTCAAACAAAAGTTCAATTGGTGGTGGTTATTCTTTGAGCCAGTCTCGGTGATGCCTTATAGCCAATGGCAGAATTTTTCTCCTGTCAGTTAGCAAAGGTGTCCAAGAAGAGATAAACACACACAAATCTGTGTGAACTAGGAGAGGTGGTTAGGGCTGGCATTCTCTTTTCTCTGGGTGGACACTCACAGTGGCTGGCTCAGTCGAGCTCAAGACCGTGAGCGGGTTGGAAGCTACTCAGCTAGGGCCTCTCCTGGTCTCTGACCTCCCTCTGTCTTGTCTCAGTTCATTCTGTAGATAACACGCGCATGGACCTGATAATTCCTGGGGAACAGTATTTCTACCTGAAGGCCAGAAGCGTGGCTGAGAGACAGCGTTGGCTGGTGGCCCTGGGGTCAGCCAAGGCTTGCCTTACAGACAGTAGGACCCAGAAGGAGAAAGGCAAGTACTGATGTCCTCTGATCTGGGAACCCTGGAAATCACCAGTTGGCATCTCTAGGTTCCCTTATTTGTTATTTTGCTTGTGACTACCTAGCCAGCTGTTTATATCATGCCAGTGCTGTGATTCTTAGCAGAATTTAAAACACGGTCCATATCTAACTCTGCTTTCTTAGCATATCACAGTAGAAAGAGTACAGGCTCTGGTGCCAGACACAACTGGGTTCAAATGATGTCTTTTTCATTTACTGGCTATGTAACTCTGGCATAGGTCACTTTGCCTCTCTGAGCTTCAGTTACTTCATCTTTAAAGTCCTTAGAGAGATTACCGTGAGGATTAGATCTGTGAAACGGTCTAGCACCCAGTGTGGCACAACACTGACCTGAGCTTAGTTGAAAATAGCTGAACAGAGATGCCTTGAGTGGCAGTGTTTTCTACAGTGCCACCTTCCTCTCCCCTCCCTTACCTAAGGTGGGATGGATATGTAATTATTGGTTTGCTGCTACTTAGTGCTCAATACCATCAGGTCTCCTGAGAACCACTGCACCACTTCTCTCTGAGCTGGCCCTAGTTGCTGCTGACCCAGCCCCACAGCCCTGTCTGTACCTGAAGAGATTGGCTTGGCTAGAGTGTAGTGGTGGATGGGAGTGTTCTCACAACAGTTGTGCCTAACTGTCCAAGGAGACCTGGGAAAAGGGTCTCTGCATTGGCTGTTTTTGACACTAAATCAGGAACAAGTTCTGGAAGCTGTCAGCTTTGACTCAGAGCAGGTGGTGATGTGCAGCATTCTCATGGGGAAAGAGACAGGTGGTGGTAATTGTGACAGCTCCCTGTCCCAAGGTGCCTGGAGTGCCCTGCCAATGATGACTGGGTTCCATTCTCCTGGACTGACAGCAGCTGACTCAGTTCTCAGCAAAATAACAAGGGTGCTCGTGGTGGTACCTGGACGACTACAGACCCAGGTGGTACCTGGGTCTGAGCAGAGCGCTGCAGTGGTAGAAGCTCTGACCCCAGAGAGCAAAACACAGCCCTTGACTCTGCCCCAGCGTTGACAGGAGTGGGTCAGAGGGAATGTCACTTGCTTCTTCCCTACTGGTGATTACAGGAAACATATTATTGCATTAAAAATGGAATGGTGGTTATTAGAGGTTGGGAAGGGGAGGGACAAGTTGGGGAATGGTTGATTAATGGGTACTAAGCTGTAGCTAGATAGGAGTAAGAAGTTCTGGGGTTCTGTGGCCCAGCAGGGTGATTATAGATAACATAAATGTACTGTGTACTTCTCTATTTAAAAAAAAAAAACCCATGATAGGATTTTGGGTGTTTTTGTGATAAAGCAAGGTTAAATGAAGAGTTAGATATATTTACCTGATTGGACATTACACAATGTATACATGCATCAAGACATCACATAAATTGTACCTCATCAAAGTATACAATTTTTATGTCAAAATTTTTTAAAATTAAAAAGACTTCAAAAGACTGAAAATATCCTTTTTCTGTTTTTCTTGTTCTCATATCTTCACCAATATCACATGTGTAGCCTATACTCTCAACATCTGACTTTGGCCATAGATTATATACGAGACAATTTCAAAATGTTCATAGAAGGAGGAATTAAAAGATAATACACAGCTTTCATGAGCTTTTTGAAGCCCCCTTATATTCTACTTCTGTCTCAAATACTAACTAGGAAATTGGTTATTCATTCTTATAACTACATTAACATCATTTTTGTTATTTAGAATTTGCTGAAAACACTGAAAACTTGAAAACCAAAATGTCAGAACTAAGACTCTACTGTGACCTCCTTGTTCAGCAAGTAGATAAAACAAAAGAAGTGACCACAACTGGTGTATCCAATTCTGAGGTAAAATCCTATTTTAGTAATAAAAATTATTAATATTACCCATGAAAAGTAACACCTGATTGCTAACAGGTGTTGCCTATTGTCACATAATCCCTATCTTGGAATTTTTTGTTGAGAACAAAAGTAACAAGCCTCAACAAAGAAATGGGTGCATTTCAGCATATGGAAGCCTGTAGTTTTCCTTTTTGTATGGATTTGGAATTAATTGATAACAGACATGTTAAGGTGTGTTTCTCTCCAGTTTGCATCACTATTTATTTATTTACTTTGTTATTTGAAATAGTTACAGAGAGGTAGAGACAGAGAAAGACATCTTCCATCTGCTGGTTCACTCCCCAGATGGCTGCAGTAGCCAGGGCTGGGCCAAGCCAAAGCCAGGTGCCAGGAGCTTCTTTCAGGTCTCCCACATGGGTAGCAAGGGCCCAGGCACTTGGGCTGTCTTCTGCTGCTTCTCCCAGATCATAAGCAGGGAGCTGGATTGTCAGAAGTGGAGCAGCCAGGACATGAATCGATGCCTGTATGAGATGCTGGCATTGCGGGCAGTGACTTTACCCACTATGCCACAGTGCTGGCCCCTGCATTACTTTTTTTTTTTTTTTAAGATTTATTTATTTACTTGACAGAGTTACACAAAGGAGAGCGAGCAAGAGAGAGACGGAGAGAGAGAGGTCTTCCTTCCATTGGTTCACTCCCCAGTTGGCCGCAATAGCTGGAGCTGTGCCGATCTGAAGCCAGGAGCCAGGAGCTTCCTCCAGGTCTCCCACATGGGTGCAGGAGTCCAAGGAATTGGGCCATCCTCCATTGCCTTCCCAGGCCACAGTAGAGAGCTGGATTGGAAGTGGACCAGCTGGGACTAGAACCGGCACGCATATGGGATGCCAGCGCTGCAGGCCAGGGCATTAACCCACTAAGCCACAGTGCTGGCCCCCCTGCATTACTTTTTAAAAATAAAATCCTGGGCCGGCGCCGCAGCTCACTAGGCTAATCCTCCGCCTAGCGGCGCCGGCACACCGGGTTCTAGTCCCGGTTGGGGCGCCGGATTCTGTCCCGGTTGCCCCTCTTCCAGGCCAGCTCTCTGCTGTGGCCAGGGAGTGCAGTGGAGGATGGCCCAGGTGCTTGGGCCCTGCACCCCATGGGAGACCAGGAAAAGCACCTGGCTCCTGGCTCCTGCCATCGGATCAGCGCGGTGCGCCGGCCGCAGCGCGCTGGCCGCGGCGTCCATTGGAGGGTGAACCAACGGCAAAGGAAGACCTTTCTCTCTGTCTCTCTCTCTCACTGTCCACTCTGCCTGTCAAAAAATAAAAAAATAAAAAAAAATTAAATCCTACTTGTGTTACAGGTTTTCATGGGTGTGGCTGCTAAAATGCCAACCTTGAGTCTCGATATCTGCCTCCTCTGATAAGCCTGGTCTTATTTCACTGCAGTAATTGTTGTGCTTGCAAAGAAGGAGATACAACTTTTGTTCTCTTCATCATTGGCGAGGTTTAGTTTTATAACATTAATAAAGTTGTTATTCTAAAAAATAAAACGTTAGAGGGTCTCTCTGATGTTAGGCTATGTATTGCATGACTCATGTTAACGAGAGAGGGTCTCTGCTCCCAAAGAAGTTAGACAGACAGTGCCTGCAACTTGGAAAATCTGCAGGTATAGTAAATGGTATTAATTCATTTTCATAGCTATGCTGCCAGTAGCATAGTGCTTCGAGGTTTGCTTTTTTTTTTTTTTTTTTTTTTTAGATAAAGGTGGTTTAACTCACTTTAATCACCTTTAATCACTTCCTTTTGGTCTCTCTTATCCATTCAACAGCTGCCTATTGTGTATAAGGCACTGTTGGTAGAGGGGGAGCAAAGGCACGGAGAGCCAGAAGTGTATTTCAGCTCTGCTCTTACAAAGGTTTACGGTATACAGCAGCAGTTCTCAACTCAGCACAAATGTGTGCCCCAGGAGACATTTGAAAACATCTGAGGACACTCTTGGTTGTCATTGAAGAAATGCCACTTGCATTTAGTGGGTAGAGGACAAGGACATCTTAGAATGGACTGGAGAGCTAGCCCTGCCCCCCACCATGCACACACGCTCCTGAAAAACCAACCAGCCCAAAACATCAGTAGTGCCAAGCTAGAGAAGCCTTGGTCTAGAAAAAAGGGAAAATGTGAATACAGCACTGGTTATTTTAAAAAGAAAAGCTTTAAAAAAAAAAAAAAGATGTATTGATTGCTTGATTTGAAAGACAGAACAACAGAGAAAGAGAAAGATCTTCTATCCACTGGTTTACTCCCAAAATGGCCACAATAGTCAGGGCTGGGCCAGGCTTACGCCAGGAGCCTGGAGCTCTGTCTGGGTCTCCCACACTGGTGCAGGGGCCCAAGCACTTGGGCCATCTTCTGCTTTCCCAGGTGCATTAGCAGGGGTCTCGATCAGAAGCGCAGAAACCAGGACTCCAACCAGCACTCTGAGAAGGGATGCCAGCATCCCAAACAGCAGCTTATCTTACTGTGCCACAACACTGGCCCTCAAACCAACAATTTAATTCAAGAAAGAGAAATGCTTAAGTGCCTTACAGACTTCCTAATGAGAGGTGTGTTCAAGGACCAGTGGTGTTGCTTGAGAGTTTGTTAGAAACTTGAGGAAGGAGAGAAGTCACTAAGATGTGGTCTCCTCACTGTGTAGTCAGGGTGTGACCTCTGTTTCCTGTGCAACTTAGCAATACCAATAGCCAGAGAGAGCACCCTGAACAAGTAACTTGGACAAAGCAAAGACATTTCCTGTTGCCGAAACCCTGTAAGCTTGTCTGTACTGAAAGCAAATGATGTGTGATTGACTGAAAGCTGTATGAGAGCTCTATGCCCGACATTTGGTCAGTGCTAGTTACACAGTGTTGTTGAGCTGAGGCAGTGGCTGAGTCTGAAGGGTTGGAGTGAGGGCAAGCCTTGTGCATGGTTAAGATTGATTGATTGATTTCAAAGGGAGACAGAGAGATCGTCTATCTGCTGATTGACTCCCCAGATGTCTGCGGCGTCCAGGGCTGGGCCAAGCTGAAACCAGGAGCCAGGAACAACTTCTGAGTCTCCCAAGTGGGTGTCAGGGGCCAAGCATCAGGAGCCTGCTGCTTTCCCAGGCATTAGCAGGGAGCTGGATCAGAAGTGGAACAGCCGGGACTTGACCTAGTGCCCATATGAGATGCCGGCATCTCAGGTGGCAGCTTAAACCAGTACACCATAATTCTGCCCCATGGTTAATGGATTAATTGGGCTGAATTGTGTTTTTCTTTTATAATATCATACATACTTGTCCAGCAAAATATGTAAACACCTCTAAGGACTTTCCACAGTTAGGAGCTTTTTTTCTTTCAGCAAGGTAAGAGAGACTTCTACTCTGGGTGTTTTGTAGGAGGGAGTCGATGTGGGAACTCTGCTGAAGTCAACCTGCAATACTTTCCTGAAGACCTTGGAAGAGTGCATGCAGATTGCAAACGCAGCCTTCACCTCTGAGCTGCTCTATCGCACTCCCCCAGGATCACCTCAGCTGGCCGTGCTCAAGTCCAGCAAGGTAAAGCCCTGCTCGGTCTCACTCCACAGGATGTAATAAAGTGAAAGAGAAACTCCTTTTGGTGACTGATAAAGACACTTTAAAGAGGACATGGCTTTGTGTCCACTTATATACATGCCCTCATATCCAGGCAGTTCTTTCTGGCAGTTTTACTGCCTGATGTTGTCTTCAGTGTATCCTTTTCTTTTCAGCCTGGTACAGTGAGCCTTGTCTAGAATTGCAGCAGCCGTCACCCTGACCCTTCAGGAAGCTAACGCAGTGTAAATAATACCACTTCCCCTAAACCTTTTGATAACCCCTTCATTTCCTCTAAATTAAAGCCACAATCTCCTAGCTCCTTCCCTGTCATTTCCTGCCCTACACTTGTTAATTGCTTATGGCTCCTCCCACACCTTAGTCATTTCCCAGTTCCAGGAATGTCCTTCTAAGTACTCTTTACCTACTTAGCTCTCATTCCTCCTCCAAGACTGTCTCTTCTCTCTGGCTCCCTAGGTTGACTAAGAGCTCTGGCTCCTATATATACCCCCATTTTAGCCTTATTCTATGTTGAAATAATCAAGTTTTACCTCGATGCCTCTAAAGTTGATACAATGTTGCATCATAATTTGCTATTTATTAATGTTTGGTGATCGTAACAAATTACAGCTGCCAAACACCAAGAGTTTGGCTGTGTTAATTAGGTCTTTCAAGAGACCCTTTGTTTTCCTTGCAAACTTGGGTACCCTTATTTCAATAAATAAGAAGGGCCACTTGGAATCAGTGCCTCCCTTTTGGGAGGAAAATTGTTCCTATGGAGTAGGGCAGTGTATGTCGTGATCATATTTATTATTTTCATATGTGATAAAATTCTAAATGTGCTCTCTTGGAGGTTTAACATGTAAACTTTCATTTCTTTGCTTTTTTTAAAGATGAAACATCCTATTATACCGATTCATAATTCATTGGACAGGTAGAGTACTTTTTTGTTTTTTCTTCTCTCTAAAAATAAAACTTAAATACTGTTACTCTTTGCTTAAATTTTTTTGATTACATGGTGATTTTCATGAGTTGATACCAGAAGGAAACAGCATCTAACTTTCCTTTTTTGGGTGAGCCTAAAGCTGCACAGACCTTTCGTTCAGCATGCTTGGGGAAGGTATTTGCATTTGCACTGGGACAGAGAGCCCAGCCATCACATCTAGTAACTTAATCTCTCTGCAGTTACTGGTGTTGGAACTTGCTTGTAGAGGAGCTGAACGTTGGCTTAAGTGTACGGTTATCCAGAAAAGACAGTAGGGCCATTTTGTTTTGAACAAAAGAAAATGTTGAAAAAAAAATAACTTCGTATCAAAATCTGAACTGATTCTATTTCTCTAAATGTCCCTTTAATTAAAACAAAAGATACATTTACATAGTCACTGGGGTCTTTATTAACTTGAGGCATTCCATGTATTGACATAGTCCAGATATTTGTCCTTTCAAATTATTACTTATTGGCTCCTTTCTTTGTGTTCTGGTCTTTGCTGCTTTATTACTAATTTGATTGTTTACAGTTCTCTCCTGTAAATATTTCTGTTGGGACATCTTTGTAGAAGTTTACTCTTTTGTAGTATTTTATCTGTGTCCGCCTACCTATTGAATTGCTAGGCTGAATATAGTTTTTTTTTTTTTTTTTTAGAAACTAGCAAGTGCTTTTCCTGAAGTCACTGTGTACTTGGACCCTTTTCCCTTATTTTTATTAGATGAAAATATTTTAGTTAAAGTTTGGGTCTCATCACTTGTAATAAAGTATTACCATTGTCCCTTTAGCAAACAGTCGGCTGTCCCACTTGCATGCTACATGTCTTTCTCAGCTACTCTGAGGTCGGCAGGTTCCTGAGGATGTGTTGTGGTCCTCTGGGTGCTCAGATGCACTTTGTAGAAAGTATTTTCTGCTGGCCTCAGCAGGTGGCTTCCTGATAGTTAGCTACTAGGCAAACACATGGAAGTGACTAGTGGTGTAGACAGAGAAAAAACTTCCCAGGGAGAAGATGGGGGAAGTCAGAAAAGTGTTGAATGTGGCACCTGAAGAAAGCAGCTTGCAAACCAAAGAGCTGCCAATGACTACTTCCTGATGCTGGGGGGGAGCAGGGAGATTGGGTTAGCTGAGGGGCCAGGAAGAGCCATTCCTGACTCTGTGACTCCTCAGCTGCAGCCTTGGAGCTGGCACACTCCCATCACAGGCAAACACCACCTCAGGTGTCCGCAGGAAGTGGGAGATGTGGGCTGGTTTAGAAATTCTCTTTCACAGCTGGTATTAAAAGGAGTTAGTGATTGTGCTTTCTCAGAATCATATCTTCTTGGGCAATCTATGACCAAATAACTGGGCTTTCTGTTTTTTTTTTCTTTTTTTTTTTTTTTTCTTTTTAACAACTTCTCAGGCAAACAGAGTTGAGCAGTTGTGAAAATGGATCTTTAAATATGGAAATAAATGGTGATGAAGAAATCCTACTGAAAAACAAGAGCTCCTTATGTTTGAAATCTGCAGAGATAGACTGTAGTCTGTCAAGCAAAGAAAATACAGAGGATAATATAACAGGTAAAAACAGAAGTCAAGTCTGAAGTAAGCCATGGAACAATGGAAAATGTGGGAGTTTGATTAGTGTCTGTGATATGGCACTGATAGGAATTAAAATCCAGACAGTGTACCTGTGATCTCAAGAGCCTGTTAACCCGTGAGACCGATGGCTTGACTGAACAGCATTCTGTCATCCCGTCGGGCCTGGCTTTAAGGAGGCAGAAGGAGGAGGAAGTCTCCTGCTCAGCTTCCTCTGCTGTGTTGTTCCTGGGCTGCAGCAAGCAGTTTTTCAGGGTGTAAGTTCTTCCCTGGCCTCGCACACTGCGTCTGCGACTCTAATGTCAAATTATGGCACTTCAGTTTTCTCTTCTCCTGGCTGCTTGTGGGATCTGAGGACGTCAGAAATCACAAAACAACCCAGCCTTCTCTATGCAAGCTAAAGTCCCATAAGTCACTTAAATCCACTCTTCAATCAGAGACAACCATGTTAATGCTTTTAATTGTGTAATAAGTACTTAATATAAGTAACTTGAAAATAACCTAAAAAAATGTTCCTCTTCATCTGCCCTGAAGTAAAGGACTCTCTTTTTCCAGATGAGATGAGGAAAAAGAAGATAAGCTTTCTTGCTAGTACACTGAGACAAGCAATGCATTTGTTGTTGGAGTCTTGTCTCTTGAGTAAATGATAAAGATGGTAGAATTTCTCTTAGACATGCTGTCATTTATTTGACCAAGATGTCTTATTTCTAGGGATTTGTCTTTAGTGAATGGTCAGATTTAAGGACAGAGATGGGTGGACAGGGGTGTTCTTTATGGTTCTGTTGTCAATTCTCATTATTTGTGGTAGTTAATACTTTTCTTTTTTGTTTTGAGGTTTATTTTATTTATTTGAAAGGCAGACTGACAGAGGAAGGGAGAGAGAGAGAGCGATCTTCCATCCACTGGTTTATTCCATAAATGGCCTTAATGGCTGAGGCAGGCCAGCCTAAAGCAAGGAGCCAAGAATTCCATCTTGTTTCCCATGTGGGTGGTAGGGGCCCAAGTACTTGAGCCATTATCCACTGCTTTTCCAGGCATGTGAGCAGAGAGCCAGATTAGAAGTGAAGTAGCCAGGACTTGTGTTCCAGTACGGGATGCCTGTGTTACAAGTGGTAACTTAACCCTCTGTGCCACAACACGGGCCCCGTTACTATTTCTAAGTCACCACAAGCACTACGTCAACAAACAGTGAGCTATTGCTCCTAGGGAAGCAGAGTTAGGTTTCTGCAAGCCTCTGGTCACAGCAGTTTTGTTAGCTGATCAATACTCAATGCTGTTTCGTGTGTGTTTCTATTTAAAGATGCTGTTGATTTATTAACATGAGATCACAGCCAACAATTCATGCCTAAAGGAAGCTTATCTAACATAGGGTACTTCAAAAAGTCTCTGGAAAATTGAATTAAAAAAATAACTTTATTTTGGTGTGGAAAATCTCTTGAAGCCCATTCATAATGAAGGGTCTTCAGAAAGTTCATGGAAAATACTCGTTTTGAAGAAATCATACAAAAGTTTCTGATCACATCTGCATCTTTTAATTGCATTTTCCACAAATTTTTGAAGTATCCTATTTTGTTCATAACTCATATTGCAGCAGTCTTGTGTTTTTGAATGCTAGACAGCCCTATACTTGTGCCCTCTCCTTTTTTTTTTTTTTTAAGATTTCGTTTTTATTTCCTTGAAAGTCAGAGTTAGAGAGAAGGAGAGACAGAGAGAGATCTTCCATCTGCTGGTTCATTCACCAGATGGAGAGAATGGCTGGGCTAGGCCAAAGTAGGGAGCCAGGAACTTACTCTGGTCTCCCATGTGGGTGCAGAGGCCACCATCTTCTGCTTTCCTAGGAGCATCAGCAGAGTGCAGGAGCAGAAGTGGAGCAGGAGCAGAGGGGTCTCAAACTGTTGCCCATATGGGATGCCGGCAGAGGCTTAACCTGATAGGCCACAATGCTGGCCCTGGGTGGCCCTTTTAAATGGCAAAATCAACAACAAAATACACAGACGTTCAAAACATGTAACACTGAATCAGAGCATTTGTTTATAGTATGAGAACTGAAACAAGAGCATTTGTTTATAGTATGAGAAACTAAAGGCAAATTGTCACCTGGTTCCACCTCAACTAGAATATGCATGTCAGGCGAATAGGTTTTCACCACCCTGCACATGTCCACAAATAACTTCGAAAGGGCTGCAAGTGTTTGTTTTTGGGGTTGAAAATAAAGAAAGGAAGCAAATTTGTAAATACAACATATGCTCATAATAAGGACTGACTGTATATATAGTGGTAAAATGCTGGATACTATCTAAATGTCAGCAACGTGAGTATGATATAATATTGATTGCATGGTAATTAAAATCATGGTTTTTGAAGAGTAGTGGATGATAGTAGAAATTTTTGTGGTATTCTTTCTGATGAAAACAAGCAGAATTCAAACCTTCATATACTTTGAGCCTGGTTGTGTGTGTGTGTGTGTGTGTGTGTATAAAAAGTTCATGGAAAATGGAATTAAAAGATAACGCAGAATTTTCCAGGAACATCTTGAAGTCACCTTCTATATGTGTTTGTGTACAATCTTTCTCATTTTTTCTCCATGTTAGAGATTATGCTTAACAATGATTATCTATCAGTTTTTATGGTACACGTAAATGTATAATAGGTTACTAATAGGTATCTTCTACTTTGCAGTCCAAGGTGAAATAATGAAGGAAGATGCAGAGGAGAACCTGGGGAATCATGACGGTGACTTGGCACAGCCTGCATCAAACTCCTCAGTTTGCTCTCCAGAATCCCACTGGGAAGAAGGCCAAGAAGTTATCCCAACTTTCTTTAGTACCATGAACACCAGGTATTCTAGACCCTCTGAAATCACTGACAGATAGCAGCCTGCTTTATGGAAAATTCAATTGTGTTCCTTATAGGTGATGGTATTTTCTATGAGATTAGAGAATATGGAATACCAAGTATCTGCTTTCTGTTTACCTTGTCTGAAAAGTCAATAAGAAGGAATTGGATCATAAGGGTATACTGTATGAACAAATTTTAAGTTGCTTAGGGAATTTATTTTGTTAGACTGTATTGTAATAGGAAAAAGTCACTATGACGTATCTGTGAAATAAGGGCAAATGATCTTCCCTGAAATTGGACAGCTCTTCCTATGACTGCCTCTGAACTGCAGAGTGCTGACATTGTATTTTCAATCTTTCCTCCTCTGTATCACCAAATTGTTTAGCTTTAGTGACATTGAACTTCTGGAAGATAGTGGCATTCCCACAGAAGCATTCTTGGCATCATGTTATGCTGTGGTTCCAGTATTAGGTAAGATTGCTGTAGTTGCCTTACATTCATTAGTCTATAGAATTTGTCTCACTGCAGGTATTTGGTAGGAGAAATATTCTGAGCTATGTGTACAGTGAACTGACCCTTCTTACCAACCTCCTTCTATCCACATGCTATTAGAACTGTTCAGCCTTGGGGCTGGCATTGTGGTACAGCGGGTAAGCCACCACTTGTGATACAGGTATTCTATAGAGTGCTGGTTCAAGTCCTGACTGCTCTCCTTGCAGTCTAGCTTCCTGCAAATGGGCCTGGGAAGGCAGTGGATGATGGCCCAAGTATTTGGATCCCTACCACTCATGTGAGAAACAAGGATGGAGTTCTTGGGTCCATGTGGGAGACCAGGATAGACTTCTGATGATGGCCCAAGTATTTGGATCCCTACCACTCATGTGAGAAACAAGGATGGAGTTCTTGGGTCCATGTGGGAGACCAGGATAGACTTCTTGGCTTCTGGCTTTAACCTGGCCCAGTGCTGGCTGTCGCCATTTATAGCAGATGGATGGACAATCACTCTCTCTTCCACTTTTCTGTCATTTGCCTTTCAAATAAATAAATACATCTTTTTTAAAAAAACTGTTCAATCTTAAGAGTTATTAGATGTTCCCATTTCATTTCTAATGATGATCAAAAGTGACCTGAGAAAAGTGGATTCTGCTTTCTAGAAACCATTAATAAAGCGAAAGTGAAAGTAGTTGAGGACTGGGTCTTCAAATCTGTTGGTACTATAAAAAAAAAAGTTGAAGTTTTTTTCAAAGATTAAAAAGTATGTTAAGAGGGTGTTCTTAAAGCTTCCATGGAAATTGCATATTGTAAAAAATTATGCATAGGTTTCAAAAATGTTTATACTAAAATAAACTTATCTTTTCATTCTATTTTTCAACATACTTGAAGTATGTATAAGCTTATTTAAATTCAAATTTACTTTTACTTAGTATAGAATCAGTAAATACCAGGGATTGCAAATGTCTTCTAATTTGCTGAATGAACATATGCATCTTTTAAATTGAGGTGTAACTTTATAGAACTTAAATGGTATAGTTTAGTGAGTTTTGACAGGTACACTTTACCTGTGTAATGCACATGCGTATTAAGACGTGGAATATTTTATGACCTTAGTATGTTTCCATGCCAGAGCAGGGGCTAGGCTGAAGACTAGAGCCTAGAACTCAGTCTGGGTTCTTGTATGGGTGGCAGGGAACCAAGTACTTGAGCCATTACCTGCTGCTTCTCAGGATGTACATTAGCAGGAAGCTGGCATGGGGAGCAGAGCTAGGACTGGAGCCCAGGCATTCAGATAGGGAAGGTGGGCAACTTCAACTACTGCACCAAACGTTCTTCTCTGCGTGAATGTTATTCTGCGATTTCGTTAACTGCTAGGCTAAACACCTGTTCCCTCCACAAACTTTTTGAAGCACCCTCATGTATTCAAAATTTAAGAAATTATCTTCATTTCACCCATCACTTAGGAACTCAGTGTAGACTCATCAGAGCTGCATAACAGAAAAAGATAACAATATCAAGCTTTTGAAGCTTGTACTTAAAAATAATTTTGATGGAGACATTAAAATTGTTGGAGAAAAGATCTGCTAAATTTATTATTACCGTAAAAGGTATTTTGTACTAGAAATTAAAATATAGAAAGAGGCAGGCTTTTAGCCTAGCAGTTAAGATGCCAATGGCTCGTATCGGAATTCCTGGATTTGGTACCCAGCTCGATTCTGACTCCAGCTTCCTGCTAGTGCAGATGCTGGGAGGCACAGGTGATGGCTCAGGTGACTGAGTTCCTGCCACCCTCGTGGGAGACCTGGAGAGTGTTCCTCGCTCCTGGCTTTAGCTGTAGTCACTGGGAGTGAACCAGCAGATGAGACCTCTCTCTCTTGTCTTTCTACTTCTCAAATAAATAAGTAATTAAATTTTTAAAAGCAACAACAGTAATGTAAATAAAAATATATATTAAACATTTTCCACTTGAAAAAATTGCTTTTTCAAAAATGTGTTTGATTTGTTCTCCTAGACAAACTTGGCCCTACTGTGTTTGCTCCTGTTAAAATGGATCTTGTTGGAAATATTAAGGTGAGTGTACTGGTTTGTCTCTGTGGAAACCTTTAGATTAAGAAAGACATTTCCAGTTTTTTTTTGTGTTTGGCAAGAAGAAATCAGGACATAAAAACATGTATTTTAGCTCTGTAAAAGAGTGTCTCCCTTCTCACCTGTGGGTGCTGGGCAAGGAAGTTACTATCCAAACCCTTGTTGTGTGCTAGAAGTAGGCTTTGTTCAGGTTGAATATTCCTTTTAAAAATGAAACTGAAATTTTCTTTTCATGCACAGAACATAAATCAGTAGAATTTTGCTCTATGTCATAACTGATTCCATGCTTTTTTAGATTTAAGCAGTGACAAGTTAGATTTTCCCAAAAAAGCATATTAGATGTGGCGTAGTGATAAAGTCGCCACCTGCAGCACAGGCATCCCATTTGTACGCTGGTTCAAGACCCGGCTGCCCCACTCCTGATAGAGCTCTCTGCTACAGTCTGGGAAAGCAGTGGAAGATGGCCCAAGTGCTTGGGTCCCTGTACCCACATGGGAGACCTTGGGGAAGCTCCTACCTCCTGGCTTCTGGCCCAGCTCCAGCTGTTATGTCCATCTGGGGAATGAACCAGTGGATGGAAGACATGTCTCTCTCTCTCTGCCTCTCTGTAACTGTGCCTTCTAAATAAACAAATCAATCTTTTTTTTTTTTTTTTTTTTTAAGGCATATTAGATGGTAAAGACAGCTGTCCCTGGTGTGGAACCCCAAAGGCCTGCCTACCTTCCTTGTGCAGCTGTAGACTTATCCACACCTTCCCCAAGCTCAGCCGGTTTCTTCCCAGGAAAATGAGGGAGTTGATAAATTACTTCCACAGTTTAAAGTTGGGAGCTCCTTTTAAATGTAGATTGAATGTTACCTTCTTAAGAAAACAATGTCCAATGAAAATGTCTTCTTGTCCCTGTATTTGAGAAAGCTGTGTAAAGAATTTACATAAGCAAGACTTTCTTCATGGTATAGTTGCATTAAAGCTAATTTGAACAAATGTTTGTGAAATTTTCTATTCACAATGCAAAGTGTGGGTTAAGCCGTTGCCTGTGATGCCAGCATCCCATTTGAGACTGATTCAAGTCCTGGCTGATCCACTTCTGACCCAGCTCCCTGCGCCTGGGAAAGCAGCAAAAGATGGTCCAAGTGCTTTGGTCCCTGCACACACATGGGAGACCTGGATGGAGTTCCAGGCTCCTGGCTTCTCTTTGAGGCCATTTGGGGAGTAAACAAGCAGATGAAAGGTTTCTCTCTCTCTCTCTCTCTCTCTCTCTCTCCTCTCTCCTCTCTCCTCTCTCCTCTCTCCTCTCTCCTCTCTGTCTCTTACCTCTGCTTTCTCTCTGTAACTCTGCCTTTCAAATAAATAAATAAAAAAGTATTTGCCAAAGACAACTGGCAGGAGACAACTGGTACTGTTTAATTCCAGGTTAAGCCTCAGAACATAGAGAAGATAGAATCTTAATTGTTATTTCTTAGAGGCCTTCTTGCCAAACTTATACTGTACTGATTTGCTTGACTTTGGCATTAACGTAGCTCTTCGTAACTCTTCTTTGTTATTCTTCCAGAAGGTGAATCAGAAGTATATAACCAACAAGGAAGAGTTTACCACCCTCCAGAAGATAGTGCTGCATGAAGTAGAGGCGGATGTAGCTCAGGTCAGGAACTCAGCTACTGAAGCCCTCTTGTGGCTGAAGAGGTGAGGCAGCAGGGGTGGGGCTGCAGCTAAACCCAGCCCGACTGAAATGTTACTGGCAAAATGTGGTTATGCAAATGAGACTATTTCTTTTTAAAAAAAAAAAGTTTATTTATTAGAGAGACAGAGTGACAGAGACAGACGGAGATTGTCCATCTGCTGTTTAGCTCCCCAAATGAGTAAAGCACCTAACCGAATCCTGTATCCTGTTCTAGAAGGCCTAATGAGTAGAACAACAACTTTTTTTCTTTTTTTGCTTCCCTATTGATGTTAATAAATATTGTTAATGGTCTACGTAAGGTAGGAAACCTGAAGAATATGGAGTCAACTTACTTCTTTAATCCAGTAGCAGAATCTCCTGGGGGCTTGTGAAGAATACCAGACTCTGAACCAGAGTTGCTGATTCACTGGGTACGGGATGGGACCCCAGAGCTTGTATTTCTAACAACTTCCCTGGGAATGCCGAAGCCACTGGTCCTGGGACCACATTTTGAAAACCACTGCTTTAGGATATAATCTCACAGGATGATGGGCAGGTCCAGAGCAGCCTAAAGGGGAATAACAGAGAAGAAACTGAGGCAGGACCCTCCTGAGATTTGATCTGTTTACCACTACGCCCAAAATACGGCCAAAATGGAAGCCGATGTCTGCTGTTTCTTTATACCCATTCAACATAAATGGACTTTGAAGATAATATTTCTGGAGCCAGCATTGTGGTGCAGCAGGAAAAGCCATCACTTGCAACAGCAGCATCCCATGTGAGTGCTGGTTTGAGTCCCGGCTGCTCCACTTCCAATCCAGCTCTCTGCCAATGTATCTAGGAGACCATGGAGGATGCCCAGGTGCTTGGGCCCCTGCCACCCACATGGGAGACCTGATGGAGTTCCTTGGTCCTTCTTCAGCATGGCCCACCTCCAGCTGTTGTGGCCATTTGGGGACTGAACCAGCAGATGGAAGATCATTGTTTCTTTGTCTATCCCTCCCAGTCCCTCTCTTCCACTTTGCCTTTCAAATAAATTAGTTAATTTAAAACATTTTTAGAGAAAATCATGTTTTCTTCTTTTTTTGTTGTAGAGGTCTCAAATTTTTGAAGGGATTTTTGACAGAAGTGAAAAATGGAGAAAAAGATATCCAGACGGCCCTGAGTAAGTCTCCTGTATGTTTGATCAATCAAATGAATAGGATGGGGATGGAGACCCCTTGGGGAGGAGACAGGATATAGGGGAAATTTCTGCTCTTCAGGATTTGATTTTGTTTTTTCTTTCATTTTCATTGTTTCCTATATGCTTCATTTAAAAAGGACCTTTGAGCCAGTGACCTGACAACTTAGATCTAATTACTGACAATCCTAGCTTCAAGAAACACAGGATGAATAGAAAACCATCTATTAATCTTGATAGGAAGACTTAATATTACTGTGAGGTTGGCTTTTCTAAATTTATCTTCAAATACAGTGCAGTTCTCAAAAATCAGTGTTCAAAGAGAAGCTAACTTTGGAGACCATAAAAGGGGGTAGGGAATCCTAGGAATTTGCTCTGGAGTGAGATTAAGGGTTGGTGATCATCTTGCACTCCTCAAATTTGCTGTGTCCCACTTTGTAGTAGTGGACATGGGTCTGGGATGAAGGCCTTGGCCAAAGGAGTTTGTGCTATATTCCAGCATCTCAATGCATGGACTGTGGCATTGTAGGTGCTTAATAAACACTGGACAGGAGGGTGAGTCGATCACGCCAGAATCTGTGAGACTTATTTTAGAAAAATATTAAGACTTGGAAGCATCCCACAGTGCTTCTAACCTTGGCTGAACTCTCACCCCTGGCCTAAAGGAAAATCTTCCAACATGGGCCTTGAGTATATGAAGTAAGAAATAATGTCCATGTTATTTTGAAACACTCTACCCTTGTAATGTAGAGGCACACACAGGTGAACTATAAATAACCTTGATTATAAATAGTGAAATTAATTAAATGCTTCTGGTGGGGAGGCAGAGCCCATGTTCTCTGCAGCCTTTATTCAGTGTCATGGGTGGGTTCTGCCTCCTTTTAGTCCTCGAGACCAAGGGTCCTGAGTCAGTCTACCCCAGCATGATTTCCCCAGGCCACCCTGCCTGGAGATTGCTGGTGTGCCGTAAAACAAGAGCTGTCATTTCTGAAGCACTTTGTGAAGAATTTAGACAACTTAAACTTCACATCAATTCATTGTTATATGTTAAGAAATGGAAATTCTGAAAGATTAAAATATTTGTGGAAGTCCACATAGGGTCTGAAGCAGATTCACGTTGGAGGCCCTGCCTTGAAGGCCCTTATTTCTCCCACAACAGGTGTTTGAGTTCCCTGTATGTTCCTGGGTTTCCAGGGGAGGCTCCGTTATGTTCACCCCCATGAGTCCTGATTTTCCATCCTGAAAGTATAATCTGCATGTCTGTGCATGCCCCCTGGCCAGCTTCTGTTGAGTGTATCTGCGTTGTCCCCTTAAATAAGTTACCCAACTTCCACGGGCCGTCTCCTCATCTGCCAAATGGGCACAGTGATGCTATTTCCATATCAGTGTTGGAAAGATTCGGTAGGATCATGCCTGTGAAAAAATTAGCGAAGGATTTGGCTATTGTACTGAGCCCTATTGTAGTACTCAGTAGAGGTTAGCTTCTCTTGTTGTCGGTACTTTTCATCATCATCATCATTATGACATACGAAGTTGACCACCCACCAGAAAATGGGACTTATTTATAAAGCTCAGGTGCCAAGCCAGAAACATTTTCCAGACTAGCTTCTTAATATGGAAATATCACACCTGTAGGAAATGCAGAAGATGTGGGAGGCAGCACTGTGTGCCTGCTGGGCTCCACAGGCCCCATGCTGCTTTTGCTTTGGGAGGGGAAGAGGGACGTGCTAATCCCATTTGGCCCACTGCCAAGAGCTGGGGTGGAGTAGCACCTGGCTGCACCTGGCTGCTCTTAGGAGCGAGTGACAGGAAGGGCCTTGACCCTGGAGGTGGAGAGGAAACCCACCCCGATTCTGACCCCCTTTTCTCCTCTAGCTGGTAGGGTTTATGTGATTGGGCCTGGAGATGCTGATTTTGTGAAGAGAGGAGACTTTGAAGGGCAAATGCTGCGTCATAACTGACATAATTGCAGCCAATCTCAACTTTTCCTTCCCTCTCTTCTCCTTCAACATTTTCAGCGGAAAGGAAGAGGGGCTGTACATTTGACATTTTCATCCTGATGTTCAAGCTGATTTTAGTGGTTTTCATGATCCAAATCATATCTTTGTTATAGTAATTTCTAATTTCCTGCTGCTGTTCAGTGTGCAGAGATAGTTTCCCTAACCAGCCTACCCTCCCCTCCAGACAAAAACACCACAGGCTCTGTATAGAAGTGTAGTCATTCAGAACCCATAGGTCTTTTATATTTTTTAAAGCATTGTTTTAAGATTTGTCTTATTTATTTGAAAGAGTTATAGGGAGAAGTAGAGACAGAGAAAGGTCTTCGATCCACTGGTTCACTCCCCAAATGGCCACAACGGCTGGAGCTGAGCCAGTCTGAAGCCAGGAGCCTGGAGCTTCTTCCTGTGTAGCAGAGGCCCAAGGACTTGGGCCGTGCTCTGCTACTTTCTCAGGCACGTTAGCAGGGAGCTGGATTGGAAGCAGAGCAGCTGCCCATAAGGGATGCCTGCGTTGCAGATTGGAGCTGTAACCCACTGTGCCACAGTGCTGGCCCTGGGATCCATAGGTCTCTGATGTGTAGTTCTTCTGGGATCATGGCTTCTCCTTTCTCATTTCCTAGTCACAGCCTTGTAGAGCTTTTTACCTGAAGTAAGGAGGATGGGTATGTAGGTAAAAGAAAAAGTATGTGATTTATATACCAAATATAGGTAAATCAGCCTGCTTTTTAAAAATTCTGAAATTTAATTTGAGTTGTAGTAATAACTACTGTTTATGGAGCACCCAGTGTAAGTATCACAAAGCTCTTGATAAACATTTCACTTAATCTCCCAAATAACTCCCCCTTTACAGTGAGTAAACTGAGGTTTGGAGAGGTGTCCATCAGTCCATCAGTATTCTCAAGACAGTAGCATCCTCATCACCTGGAAACTTACTAGAAATGCAGACTGCCAGGCCCCACCCAGACCTGCTGAAGCGGGAGCTCCAGGAGTGGAGCCTGCGCCTGTGCTCTGACAGTCATTCGGGGGATTCCCAACCATGCAGAAGTCTGAACCTTCTTGTCTACACCGAGGCCACTGATGCTCACCTGTCACTTCTCTACATCTGATTTGGGGCTTTTGACTGCATTTGAGGGATTGATAATAAGAGAACTACAAGTACTGAAAAAAGTCACAGCATCAGTCAGTCTTGCCTCTTTTTCATCCTAATAGATACCTTTCCAATAAAACACTGCCTAGGAAAGGTTTTGAAGTAAATCCTCATAACACTTGTGTAGTCTGTTATAAGTCTCATATCTTGGAGGTGGGAGATTATGAGTTAAAGTTCTGAAGGACACAGTGGAAGCCTTGCTACCTGTTCCATACGGGGAACTGCTTCTGCAGTCACTGTGTTGCTGCAGTTCTGTGGCTGGAATGCTTCCTGCACCTGGAAGGAGCCCTTGGACGCTGCACTGCCCCCTCTCGCACTTGTGCCATCCCTCGAATGCCCTGCAGGGATGCTCAGAGTGGGGTGCTCTGGATGGCCTCATGCCGAGAGCTGTGCTTCAGCGCCCTCTGACATTCTCGAAAGGTCATGTTGAGGAAGGAGTTGAGTCCACAATGCTCTGCGCCAGAACTGAGCTTCTCCCCTGCAGCTGTCATATCAACAAGAGGTTTTGGACAGCATCCTTTTAAGGGGAATAAAGAAAAGCGGCTCTGGCGTTCCATGCACCACTGTGCTAGATGTTGCGCGGTGCTCTGCACAGCTCACTCTGCAGGATGGCGTATTGCCAATCTCTCACTGCGGAATGATTCCGGAAATGTCAAGTAAAAATTGACCCAGTCACCATTTCTGGCACAGCATGGGGGACGCTTTTAAAGGTGCTCAGTTCCTGTCTTGTAACATGAAAGGCTTTCACAGACAAGGAGAGCAAGGTGAGACAAAGCACACAACCAGGTATTGCCATCAAGTCGTAGCTTAGTTGTTTTATAAACACTGGAATGTGAAGTAAGTCCTGCACTCCCTGGGACCCTCCCAGCAGGTCTGCTCACAGTGCACACTTCAGTTTTGACAGTGCCTGAAAATAATGAAACAGCATCTCTGTGCACTTCTCTCCTCTCTGTCCACTTTTGCAGTCAGTGTTTCCCCACACTCGAAGCTTAGTCCCTGTGAAAAAATTAGAGGGGACTTCTCTAGTAGATTAGCTTTTTTGAAATGATAAATATTTCACACATTTAACAGATAGCTGGCACTTGACATATATAAAAATAGTTCAGGGGCCGGTGCTGTGGTGCAGCGGGTTAAAGCACCAGCCTGCAGCGCCGGCATCCCATATGGGCACTGGTTTGAGTCCCGGCTGCTCCACTTCTGATCGAGCTCCCTGCTAATCACCTGGGAAAGCAGTAGAAGATGGGCCCCTGCACCCACATGGGAGACTTGGAAGAAGCTCCTGGCTCCTGGCTTTGGATCAGCTCAGCTCTGGCCATTGTGGTCATTTGGGGAGTGAACCAGTGGAATGGAAGACCTCTCTCTCTGTCTCTCTGTCTCTACTTTCCTCTGTAACTCTGTTTTTCAAATAAATAAAATAATTCTTTAAAAAAAAAGTTCAGTTCAGTTAGGGGCCCCTTAATAGCCCCTAGACCCTATTATTTTCCTTGATTTCCAGAGATCTTCATTCTGAATTGCTGCTTATTATGAATGCTCATTTCCCTACTTTGACATATTTTTCCTTTTACACACAGTATTGTTCTTTAGACATATCCAGCGTTATAGTCCTGACTCATTAATTTTCTCTGCTGTTTAGCCTTTCATCGTGTGACTAGACAAGAATTTTTAAAAACTTAGGTACTATTTATGGACACTGAGGTTGATTCCAGATTCTTACACCACAAACAGTGCTACCTACCATTTTGCATGTTCCCTTTTGCACATGTTCTTTGTGAGTTCTGTGCTGTTTTCATAACCAGAATAAGGTGTTCTTTCTTTCAGGAAATGGCTGGAAAAGGCATACTTTTGATTTCCCTGATTTTGATTCAGAAAAAATAAATGTTAGTTTTGGACAGAATGGTTTGATCTAACAAGAATGCCCGGGTTCTCATTGCTCTTAGTTTTGTGATGTTGGGCAAGTCACTGCCTCCCCGGCTATTCCATTTCTTTCTTTATGAAGCAGGGAGAATTGTGCTCTTCCTACTCAGAAATTTCAGCTCAGCCTCGGAGCAACTGACGCATCTTAGAATGAAGAGAAAGGGATCATTTGTGTCTTTCAGAGGCCACAAATACTCTGAGATTATAGAACATGCATTATGATAATGAATGGGTATTACAGTGAAGATTAATGTCTTTCATTACCTAATCTTCTCTAGGTAGCCAAAATAGGTCAGGCTTAGACTTCATCTTATTTTAATGCAGCCTCACATGGTGGGGATGTTTGCAGCCCTGGAAGTCAGCTAAGGTCTTCTGGCTGATTTTTTAATGAATTTTGTTTCATTTATTGGCTTTAAATTTCAGCAGTGATCTTCCTGAGCCCAAGTCAGGATCTGCATTCTGTGACTGTCTCCTCCCATGGCACCATCTGGCCCACATTTTGCCAGGTGGAACTCTTCTCCATCAGTGTGGCCACCACAAGGAGCAGCTGCTGCTTATTGTAGGGCCAAATGGGAGGACACGGGCCTTGCTACAGGGTGAATTAATGCTCCCTGGTCCTCAGGCCATGCTGCCCAGGCTATGTGGACTCACAGTGCCCTTGTCTTGGTGGCTCTCAGAAGAGGACACAGAGAACAGTTTCTTAGCCTTTTTGGATGGTTGATATGAATGCCGAAGTGTCAGGGAGGTAAAAAGTCTCTGAGGCTGGTGTGGCACCAAATCCAGAGCCCTTTTAAACAGGGAGTGCTGGCCTCACGGGCTGTGTAGCTGCTGCACGCTGCAGAGCAGTGAGAGTCTCATCTTGTGCCTTCCCACCACAATTCCAGGTCAGAATGATCATGGCTTTGTTAACAGAAGAAAATCATAGGGGATCCTAGGACAGAAGTCTAAGAATGTTCCTCCAGAATGCCCAGTGGTTTTCTCTGGGAGGAATGATTACAGCTTTCAACAGTGAATGTGATATTTTTCAAAACTGCCACTGTGCTTCCAATGGAAGCAGCTCAGAATTGTCACCACAGTGTATAAAGGGCCTCACGGTGTGACCCCAGGGGATTGCTTACCTTGCCTGGTGTGCTGTGACCTTCTACAGCTCCACAGTGCCTCCCATCTGCAGTGCCGCGCACCACCCTTCTTCTACTCCACCAAGTCTTCAAGACTCTTGCTGGGGAATCTGTGTCCACGTACCCCTTTTTCTCTTTTCTTTCTGTGCTAGCTGTGCAAATCTCAATGATAGCAGCTTGTAGTTTACATGTGCAGCTTCCTTATAAGATCAGCAGCATCTGTAGGGCAAAGGATCCACTGAGTTTAAATCAGCCGAGGATCTCACTGCCTTGCACAGTACTCAGTGTAGTAGGCATGCACTTAATTTTTGTTAAACGGAGCAGCTGTCGACTGTAGTGCACCACTAGCAGATTTTAATGACATTTAATTTATGTACCTCTAGTGGCATTTCTCTAATCGCCAAGTATCCCCTGGCAGAGAGAACAGCTGGATTCTAAGTGCAGTGCATGTTGGTGTGTCTCTGATCACACAGCACTCTGCTAACTGTTCTCCTAAAAAAGTTATGTTTGCTCTTGAGTCCCGTAGGCTGTTCCCAAGAGTCTTCTCCAAACTCTGCCTTTTCACAGACCCTTTATTTCTCTGCTTTAGCTTCACCACAATGCTTGCTGCATTTCTGCCTGCTCCTGGTACTTCAGATAGCAGGGGCTCTGTGGTTCTGGTTCATACATATTCCTGTTTAGGTTGGATATATATTATTTTGTATAAAATATATTTTATGCAAATTCAAATTACATAAAATTGAAATAGTAGGATGCACTAAAGTATTAATGAAGCCTCATCCAAATTTTTGAAGTAAAAGTTGACTAGAATTACATAATTTCTGAGCTGGAGGGCTTGAGTAAACTGTTGACTGTGTTTGAGCTGCAGCCACATGGCAGCCCCACTTTGGCCAGCAAAATAGCAAGGCCTGACTTTCTCTGGCAGTGGCATGGGCCACATTGCTTTTCATTGCATAGAAACTTGTATTTGGGTTTTCGTGTCTCCTGTTATTTTCATATCTGCTCCTCTTAAGTTGAAAATATTTCTGTAACCTATTATGGTGTCACCTGGGCCCTCATTAAATGTGGTAGTACTTGTGCTGGTGCTGAAACTACCACATGCAAATGAATGCATTTGAAATGGAATTTAAATGTTTTCAGGTGAAATGTGATGAAGGTCACACAAGCCCTGTGATACACAGCACTGTTAGTTTAGGAGCACTCTGTAAACTACCAGAGATGATTTTGGAAATAAGAGCAGTAAACACATACTATGGTAATACAGATCTTTGCCTCCTGAGAATGCTCTCTGGCTAGTGGGAAAATCAATTTTGAATTTTGCTTATATTGAATTATTCAAAGTCTTTAGGAACACATCCCTTGCATAAAATGTAGCCATCTTGTTCTTGGGAGTTGCTGTAATTAAAATTATTATATGTCAGTTTAAAAATCTTGTTTTAAAGCACCTTATGATAAAAATAACCAGTTGTTATCCTTAAAACAAATAATCTCAAGCCATTTTTCTTAACATTTTAAATATTTCTAGCCTTTTAAAATATATTTTTTCATCTTATTTGAAGGGTAGAGAGCCAGAGACAGAGATTTTTCCATCCTCTAACTGCCCACATTGGCCAGGGCTGGGCCAGGCCAAAGCCAGAAAGCCAGAACTCAATCTGCTTCCCTAAGTGGATGGCAGGGACCCAAGTACTTGAGCCATCATCTGGTGCCTCCCAGGGTGGATTGGAAGCACAGGGACTGGGACTTGAGCCAGGCACTCTGATAAAGGATGTGGGCATTCCAAGCCATGTCTTCACCATTGTGCCAGATGCCCACCCCAGTTTTCTAGCTTTCGTACTGTATATCCAGGGTCATAGGACCAACATTTGGCATCCTGGAATAGAATGTTAGAATTGGAAAGCACCTTCGAGATCATTTGATAAAGGAGGCAACACAGGGAGAAGCAACAGCCCAGCAACTGGCTCATAGTCATACAACATTGCACAGAACTTAAATTTTTTTCCTTTTTTTAGTAGGTATTTGTAGTGGTATTTACTCTTGATTTTTAATATCCTTTTCTGCCACTTTATTTGCTTACATATGTGGAGCTTGTTCCCTCATGATAATAAGCTGAAGTTCAGATGTGTTGACTTGGAATAAGAGTGCAAGTATCTGTCTTTTTGTTAAAAAGCATTTGAGCTTTTATTTTTTCCTACTTTAGACTTTTGGGTACAAGATCTTATAGTTAGATTTCTATCAGCTCCTAGAAAGTAGGGTTGTACTGCTGCATACATTAAACAGTTTATGGTACAGATAGCACACCAAACTTTGACAAACTTGTTCCTCATGGAGTTGTTTTGCATCTTTTCCAGATAACGCGTACGGTAAAACTCTCCGGCAGCACCACGGCTGGGTCGTCCGAGGGGTTTTTGCGGTAAGCAATCCTTCTGCCTCCTGACGTTCTGCTGGTCAGAAGCAAGGTGCTTTGTGTTGTTTTTGTGTGTGGTATTTCTGTATGCCTTATTTTTGAGAATAAGAACAAAAAATTGCTTATTTCACGTAGGTTTATAGGCCTGTCATGTATGGAAATGTCGGCAATAGTGTCTGGTAGAACAAAGATTGTTAAAGAACTATGAATAGGAGAGTATGCTTATCTTGTCTTGTTCCAGTGAGCTTGTGCGGTTTGATGTAGGCAGAAAGCAAATACTGGGGGGAATGATGCATTCAAGCAATGCACTCAAGCCAATGGCTCCCTCTGCTGCCCGTTGTATTCAATCGCGTTCAATCCCAGGTCTTGATTTTTCTTTTCTAGTTGAATCTTATCTTTCATATTAACTATATTGGATATGCCAAGGGCTAGGGATGGAAATCTCTTCTCAGGTATTTACACTGTGAAAATGTTTACATCACATGTTTTGTCCTGTTAGCACCACCCCACCTTCCCCTATTGAACTAGGCACAACATAAACCTGCGACTCATGGTCCCCTGGGCTAGTCACTTGGCCTGCTTTGTGAAATAGCAGGAGGAAGTGGCTCTTTTGGGTCAGCAGTAGCACTGCAATTCTTCCCATCAGGGAAAGGCCAGTCTGAAGCACACAGATGTAGCCATGAAAACGCAGCATCTCATGTCACTGCACGCTAGGACATGTCATAGGATGTGTTTTTTGGAAAGCTGGGAGTTAAAATACCCTTGCAGATAGTGTCTTTTTCTAATTTAAAGAATATATCAGTTGCTGAGGCGCAGTGGGTTAAAGCCCTGGCCTGAAGCGCTGGCATCCCATATGGATGCTGGTTCTAGATCCAGCTGCTCCTCCTCCGATCCAGCTCTCTGCTGTGGCCTGGGAGAGCAGTGGAGGATGGCCCGAGTGCTTGGGCCCCTGCACCCACGTGGGAGACCTGGAGGAAGCTCCTGGCTCCTGGCTTCAGATCAGTGCAGCTCTGGCCATTGCGGCCATCTGGGAAGTGAACTAGCGGATGGAAGACCTATATCTCTTTATCTCTACCTCTCTCTGTAACTCTGTCTTTCAAACAAATAAAATAAATCTTTTTAAAAAAAAGAATATATCATTCACCTAACATAAGAACTACTTAGATCATGATTTTTTAAGAGACAGGTAAATAAAGTGAGGGAAATGTACTATTCAAGAAGTCAAATATTACTGAAAGTGAAATATATTTTGGAAGCATAGAGATGACTAGCTCTGTGTCCCTTGTTCACTGGAATAGGTGCCAGACCAACTGTAGCTACAGAATTCTCACACTTCTTTCAGTACATGTTTTATTATATATACAAATCCCCAAATGCCCACAACAGCCGGGTCTAGGCCAGGCCAAAGCCAGGAGCTAGAAACTCCATCCAGGTCTCCCACTTGGGTGGTAGGGGCCCAACAGTTCGACCATCATCTGATGCCTTCCCAGGAGCATTAGCAGGAAGCTGGATTGGAAGCAGAGGTGAGACTCTAGCACAGACACTCCAGTATGGAAGTGGGCATCCCAGACAGTGGCTTAACTTGCTGTGCCACAGTGCCCACCCTTCTTTGCTTTCTTAACTGTTCTTATATTTTATTAAGAAATTTTATAATTTTTCATATTTAAATATTGATCTATCGAGTTTTATGTCTATATAAATGTATCTGTGGATATTTACATATGTGTATATATTAAAATGTGCAGTTATTTTATATTTTGGACATGCATTTAAATTTTTTCTACATTTAGCTTACTGTACAACTTTATATTCTCATCCCCTCCATAGATTTCCTTTTAAAAAAAATACACATTTAACTTTATTTCATCATTGTCATTTAAGGCTTGATTTTATAAAACCTAACTTTTTTTAAGGGGCTGGCGCTATGACACAATGGTTTAAAGCTCCAGCCTGCAGTGCTGTCATCCCATATGGGTACTAGTTCAAGTCCCAGCTGCTCCACTTCTGATCCAGCTCCCTGCTAATGCACCAAGGAAAGCATTGGAGGATGGCCCAAGTCCTTGGGCCCCTGCAGCCACATGGGAGACCTGGAAGAAGCTCCTGGCTCTTGGCCCAGCTCCAGCCATTGTGGCCATTTGGAGAATGAACCAGCAGATAGAAGATCTCTCTCTCTCTCTCTCTCTCTCTCTCTCTCTCTCTCTCTGTCTCTACCTCTCTCTGTAACTCTGTCTTTCAAATAAATAAATCTTTTAAAAAAATTAAGTTTTGTAAACAGGAAATTAAGAGTAGAAATATCGCTTCATGGGCTTAACTTACATAAATTAAAATAATTAGAAATCTTTTTCAATACAGAAGTATACAGTGAAATAAATGACAAGAGGATCCAATAAGGCAACGTTTTCATTACTCTGGGATTATTATTAGTTACTTTCAGGATATAAACAAAGAATCTGAATAGTCAGTCTTCTTTTTCTGTATTTTATATGTATCTCCCTATCTGTATTCTGAGTCAAGCTACTTGAGCAACATGTCTGATTTACTTTGCTTGAGTATTTAGCTTCATAACAAAGGCTTTTCTATCTATAGTTACTACCTTAAAAGAATAGGCATTACAATGCTGATGGAATCTGCTGTTTCCTTTTGCATGATGTGTAATGAACATGTTAACCCTATGATAAGTCAGACAGATACTCCAAAAATGGAAGAACAGTCATGCACAGTTCATCAAGATATAATGCTGGCTTTCTCCATCTAAAACGTAACCAATGAAATAAAGCTTAACATCTACAGTTGACTTCAGGAAAAACCACATTTGAGAATTACATTATTTTCCTAATCTCTTCATCAGTCATTGATGTATTATCTATATAAATACATCTGTATCTATGGATGTTTATATACTTGTATACATTATATGTGTGCAAAAATTTTATATACTTTGTCTATGCATATAAATTTTTCTACATTTAGCTTATAGTATAACTTTATATTCTCATCCCCCCATAGATTTCATCATGACCATTTTTAAATGCAATAAGAAATTATTTGGGGGGGGGGACACTATTTTTGGTGACTTTATCTTTCCATAATAAGGAAGTATCATAATTTATTTGCCTAATTTTGTGTTGGAAATTTAAGCTGCTTCTAAGTTTGTTCTTAGAAATAAAACAGCATCTGTTTGTTTATTTTTGACTAAAGCTCCTGTTTCCTCAAAATAAGTTCCTAGAAGTAGAATCATTGTATCTGATTCCAAGAGCACACATCAGCTTACAGCATTGAGCACTCATCCCACACAAGATACTTTCAAGTACTTGACATACATTCAGTTGTTAATCTCATAACTCAGATTTTTCCCACTTAAAGACAAACCCAAGATGCAAGGAGCTGAGATAATATACCCAAAATTATAGCTCATAAATATTTTGAAGTCTTCAGATGTTATTGCCAATAATTTTTATTTTTATTTTATTTTTCAAAGATTTATGTATTTATTTGAAAGGCAGAGTTATAGAGAGAGAAGGAAAGAGAAAGATCTTCTATCCACTGGTTCACTTCCCAAATGGCTACAATAGCCGGGGCTGGGCCAGGCCAAAGTCAGGAACCAGGAGCTTCATCCAGTGCACTTGGGCCATCTTCCACTGCTTCCTAAGGCACTTTAACAGGGAGCTGGATCTGAAGTGGAGCAGCTGGGACTCAAACCAGTGCTGATGTAGGATACTAATATCACAGGTAGCAGCTTAGCCCACTATGCCACAGTGCCAGCCCCTATTTTTATTTTTTATTTGAAAGGCAGAGTGACAGAGAAACGGGGAGAGATTGTCCATCCGGGGTCATTCCCCAGATGGCTGCAAGCACCTGGGCTGTCATTCACTGCTTGCCCAGGCACAGTAGCAGGGAGCTGGATGGTTAACACAGCAGCTGGGACTTGAAACAGCACCAAGGATAATATGGGATACTGCCATCCCAAACAGCAGCTTAATCTGCTGCACCACAACACCAGTCCCAATTTTTTTTTTTTTTCCAATGTGTAAGTCAGAGTGATGGAGAGAGAAAGAGGGATTTCCAGTAGTTTTTAAGTTTCTGGCTTTTGAGAAAATAGATTATGTCAAGCATTTGATAATAGCCTTGTCAGTAGAAGAGGTGAATTTGTACCCAGATTGGCTTTTTCAGCCTTTCTGCTGTTAGACTCCAAGTCGTCCCTGTTTTGGAAGGTGCGTTGAGTATTCCAACACGTACTAATCTGCAGAGTCAAATTCATGTTAACTGATCACAGTTGCTCAGGGAATCCTTTTTTATATCCAAGGAATTCAACTGATTTATCAGCCAAATAGTGAACTTTATCATCCAGCAGTTATAATCTCCCAAACTGTTGCTTCTAGATTGGTCACTACCTGGCTACCCTTTTCCTTTCTGGCTTCCTCTTCAGTCAAACTAGTTACTTGACCCTATCATTTTTTTTTAATATTTATTTATTTATTTATTTGAAAGGCAGAGTTACAGAGAGAGAGAGAAAGAAAGGTCTTCCATCTGCTGGTTCACCCCCTAAATGGCCGCAACGGCCACAGCTGTGCCAGTTTGAAGCCAGGAGCCAGGAGCTTGTTCTGGGTCTCCCAAGCAGGTGCAGTGGCCCAAGCACTTGGGCCATCTTCTATAACAGAGAGCTGTATCAGAAGTGGAGCAGCGGGATTTGAACCAGCACTCGTATGGGATGCCAGCACTGCAGGCAGTGGCTTTACCTGCTGTGCGACAGCACTGGCCCCTATCATTGGTTCTTTCTGGATTGGCTGAGTATAGAATTTTACATTAATCATTTTCCTGCAGAATGTTGAAGGCACCACACTCTGTTGTCCTCCATTTCCCATGGCTACTGCTTGATATATCATCCCCTTCCTGGTGCTTTCACAATCTGTCTTTTTCCCCACATTCTGGAATTTCATCATCAGCCCTTTTAGTGAGGTTCCAGGAAGTTAACTACTTGGCTTTTTTTTTTTTTTTTTTAAGATTTA